AGTTTACCAAAAACAGAATGTTTGAAACAATGTTCTGAAAAACTTTTTTTTACGTTTATGTAACCGGTTAACCAATTGGTATAACCGGTTACACCTACTATGAAAGTGAAAAATACTTAAAAGTTAAGTTTTAAACAAGTTTCACATGATGTTAAAATAAATTCATGCACAAGATGAAATGATTATAATAATTCTGAGCAATTAAAATATATATACTTAAATTGTAAAGAATACTCACCCATTTTGATTCTTTCATTGACTTTCCAAAACTTATGATCATTTGAAATTGATTGCTATAGTCTTCAAACTTTGATTTCTTTTTGTTGATGTGCTTGTCTTCATCAAAACTATAATCAAGGACAAGAAGAACTCTTCTTCACATAGTATATACAATATTCTATTGTGATGATGAATATAATCAATATAATTAAATGTAGAGTTCTATAGAACAAACCTTAGTATATGATATTATTTGTTTCTATATATGCATGGTTATCTATAAAGAGGATGTAAACTATTGGGATGACTCTTTTTAAATTCCTATTATACCATCTATAATTCATTAGTTACCATTATTATTATTTTTATTTAAAAAAACAAGTTGCATACTCACATGAAATTTGATAACTTCAAAAAAAAAACAACTACAACTTACTGGGTGGTTTTTTTCATCACATTTATAACAAACTAATTATTAAATCCATTCACTATTTCTCAATGAAGGTCAAGCCTTTAGTAGTTATAACCATTATAGGCAAATTGCTATCATAATTGATATTATTAACACCATAAATTTTTATAATTACAGAGCAATTTCTAATTTTTCTCTCTTATTGCAGGAGCAATTTGTATCCTTTATTGGGAAAAACCTAAGTCCCACATTGGTTAAAGATAGAACTCATAAAGAGTTTATATAGAGTGTCACCCCTCACCTTACAAGTCAGTTTTGTAGGGATGAGTTATGCTAAACTCTAATTCTATCATGGTATCAAGAGTCTCGTTTAAAATCTGGTGGACCACCTAATATGGTTTATGTTATCGGGTCATCCATTATTCATTTCTATGCTCCAGTTGTCCTGAGCGTAAGGGTGTGTGCTAAGAGTCTCACATTGGATAATATATGGCCTGATTTATTATTCTAATATCTTATTTTTCAATGCATTGATATGTGGTTGAGAAAACGGTAATACCGCGAGACAATGATATGAATCTGCAACACAATAATACAACGGTAAAAACAAAATAGCAGTAACGAAAAAACATTGGTACAACTAGTAGTGGGAGTGTTATGTGGCAGGAAGAAGAAGAAGGAACAACAAGGCAATTGGTTTAATTTTTTATTTTATTTTAAGGTAATGCTAACTTGTGCCCTTATGGCACATGTTAAAAAATCCACAAATAAAAAATTCTTATTGAAAAAAGCAATAAAATAACTAATTACTCCCTTCGTCCCAAGTGACCCAATTGACTATTTCTACATATTACTCCCTCCGTCACACAACGAGTGACATATTTAGAATAAAAGCGTGTCCCAAAATGAATGACCCATTTCAATTTCCAATGCATTTTTTCTTCCAATTGTACCCTCTAATTAATATTACTTTTATCATTCTTAATACAAATTATATTGGAAATCAAAATGGGTGACTCATTATGGGACGGAGGGAGTACTATATGTTAGGGGGGATTTTCACTAGGGAGCATTGAACATTTTGGAACTTTCCTTTCTACAACAACACACCTTTGTGAGAGACACACCACATATTTACCCAAAATCATAAGGTGATAGGTGGGTGAATTCTCTCACTTATAAATGCTCAAGTTACCATATTTCTATCCAATGTGAGACTATTATCTACACTACTCACACTTGTAATACTTAACACTTCCCCTTAAGTGTGAGTCTATCCGTGTCCCAAAATGAATGACCCATTTCAATTTCCAATGCATTTTTTCTTCCAATTGTACCCTCTAATTAATATTACTTTTATCATTCTTAATACAAATTATATTGGAAATCAAAATGGGTGACTCATTATGGGACGGAAGGAGTACTATATGTTAGGGGAGATTTTCACTAGGGAGCATTGAACATTTTGGAACTTTCCTTTCTACAACAACACACCTTTGTGAGAGACACACCACATATTTACCCAAAACCTTAAGGTGATAGGTGGGTGAATTCTCTCACTTATAAATGCTCAAGTTACCATCAATGTGAGACTATTATCTACACTACTCACACTTGTAATACTTAACACTTCCCCTCAAGTGTGAGTCTATCCACAATGCTTCCACAATGCTCCCCTTTAAGCAGAAGCTCTTTTCATCCACATACATTTGTACTGCCGTTGACACTCTTCAACGAGACATTCAATCCACCGTTTGTAGGGATACTTTTTATACAAGTGAGTCAATCCTTCACTCGAACCAAAAGCTCATGATACCACTGTTAGGGGAGATTTTTACTAGGGAGCATTTAACATTGTGAGACTTTTCTTTCTAGAGCAACACACCTTTGTGAGAGATACACCACATATTAATCCAAAACCTTAAGGTGATAGGTGAATGGATTCTCTCACTTATAAATGCTCAAGTCACCACATTCCTAATCAATGTGAAACTATTATCCACACTACTCACACTTATAATACTTAAAATTTGTTGGCGGTAATCCTGAAAGTTAGAAGGCAAATAGTAAATACCTTATGGCTTGTGTGGGAGTAAGTTCAATGAGTATGGGATCAAATATGAGTGAATGTCATGATGAACCATTTGAGAATAATGAGAAATCCTAATTGGTCATCACACTATATATATGTTATGGTCTCCAATATACCGTACACAAGCAAATTATCTCTTCTCCCCGTCTGAAGAGAATTCGAGGCATAAAGAGTATCAGTTGAGGAAGAATCAATCACTTGTCTCTACATTTTTTACATTTTAGAATTACCGTTATTAGTGCCTACAAATCTTTCTTCTTGGATCCACCCAAATATTCATATACTCCTTAATAAATCAATATGTCGTAGATCCTAATGTTATGTGTATGCATGCTTATATGTTTGTTTTGCTTTCGTCTTAAATTATATTTTAGATTTGATATTTGTATTTAAGCATGCCTTGTATAAATTAATTATTAAATTAGTTCTAACAAATTGAACACATACCAAATTATTTAATTAATTAAATAAATTTTAAATAAAATCTAATCAACTTTTTAACTCTATTTAATCACTTAATTATTTAAGACACTTAATTGATAAAATAACTAATATAATTAAATAAATATATTTAACTACAGAATTATTAAAATACTAATATAATACTAAATCATTAAATATTCCAACACTATAAGCTTATAATATTAAATCCAATGCACAAGTTTTAATAAATTTTATAATATTTATTTCTCAACTTGTGTTCCAAGAATACAATCTAATATTACCTTTTATTTTATTAACCTAATTTTCTATGACATCTATAGGGTTATGTCTATGACCCCTATGGTGTTAAACACATATCTATATCAAAAGAGCTAAAATTTCTAAATTACAGATAAGATAAGTAGGGTTGATTTGTTGTAACAATAGTGGAAATATCTTTAAAAATGAATGCCTTCAAAAAGCTAGTAGTACTATTAAGGTTTACATGTGTATTATATCATGTATCAAAATAAATATATCATGTATCAAAATAGATATAAAATTCACAAATATATATAACATTTAACCAAGAAGAAAATATTTTAAAAAATAATAATTTTCTAGGTTTCGTATTGAGTAAGACACAGAATTTTAAATGATGCAGCAGTGGCAGTAGTGAGTTTATTTTCTTTTGCGTGAAGGAGTTGTGTGGGCCCATTTAACTCAGTCAACTGACAATGAAAGTGACTTATTGTCAGTTTTAATTCAATCATCACACCTCTATTTTGTCGTTTTCTGATCATTTTCTCTCCCCATTTTACCCTCCAATCTCGCACGTGCTATGCGTGTGCAAAGTAAAACTTATAATCGCTTTATTAAATCTTTTATATAGGAAATAATTGCTGTCTAAACATTTAAATAAGATCCTAAACCCTTCATCTAATCCACAAATTAACAATACTAAATAGATTCAACAAAACGTCACACAGTTTTGCAATGAACCATTATGCTAAAACGGGTAAAGTACATGCTACACTAGACGACAAAACTCTAGAGAGAGAAAGAGGAGTGAGAGTAATGTACTCCATTGCATAAGCTCACTGTTCCGCTGATTTTGAGGCATGCAAGAGAGAGAGAGAAAGAGTCGTACTGCACAAGTTTTTCACTCATCTAGTTTCTTTTTTTACTGCATTTGCCTCTCTTTTCTCTTCAAAACTATCTCTCAAATTCTCAAAACACAGAGAAGAGGAACAACCCAGGTGACTTTTTCTTTTTCTTTTCCCCTTTTTTCTATGGTTTTCTTTCACTCTTTCTTCATCACTGATTATGCTTCTCTGACCTATCTATCACTCACATGTTGCATTTGAGGTTAATCAATGAACAATATTTCAGTGTTTTATTGGGTAAAAAAAGCTGCTTTTTTTTTTGTTTTTCCTGAAGTTATGCATTTGGGGTTTCATTGATTTTGTTTAAAGTTTCATAATTTGTACATTTTGTTTTCTGGGTCTTCTAGAATCATGCAATAAGAATCTATGGTTTTCTAGGTTAAAGTTTTAATTTTTTTTCTTAGATGTGATGAAACTATTAATGTAACATTGTTTTTAGTATTATTCAAAATCAATTTATTGTTTTTTTAACGTTTTGTTTTATGGGTCTCTTGAGTCATGCAATCAGTGTGACCTATGAGATTTTTTTTGTTGGTTAAAGTTTTAATTTTTTTCTCAGATGTGATGAAGTTATTTGTTTAACATTGTTGGTTGATTCAGAATTGAATAACTTTTTCATTTGAATGTGTTGGGTTGTTTGATTTATGTAATGAAATTTGGGTTTTTGATGAACAGGTGTGTTGAGATAATGCTGAGGAAGAGAAGCAGTTCAATCCAGAAAGATCAACACAGCATGGGTTATTTGACAAATTCTGATGCTAATTCTGAAAACTATTCGAAATCTCTTGATTTTGGTCGCAATATCAAAGGCAACCCGATTTTCAATATCCCTTGTTTGTTTGTGGGTTTAGGTCCAAAAGGGTTTTTGGATTCGGATTCGGTTAGAAGTCCAACTTCACCTCTAGATACTAAAGTTCTTTCGAATTTTGGTAACCATGTTAGGAACCAAAGATCTTCGCTTTTTGAGGGGAATCAAAGGAGTTGGGATTGTTGCAAAGTTGGTTTAAGTATTGTAGAGTCTTTGGAGGATTGTAACTGTTTTAGGTTTTGTGGGAAAACTCTTCAATCACTTGATAGCAAGAACAATAGTTTAAGTCCTCGAATGATGATTAAAACAATTCCAATTTGTGAAACTTGTATCGATTCTTTTGAGTCGTCTAAGTCTTTGCCTAAAGATTTTTGTACCCGAAATGAATCTGTTATCCATAAGGGTGAATGTGAATCCAATGTCCTTTTTGAAATCGGCGAAACTAGCTTAGAACTTGATGAACCGTTTGGGAGAACTAGGTCTTGTTCAATGGATTCGAGCAAATCATTGAAAGCTACTGATTCAGATTTTGATGATTTTGATATGAAAGATGTAGCGGTTCAAATTAGCGTTTCTCCTCATTTTATTGGAGGAAGCGAGAACTCGAATGCCATTGCACCGGCAGAGTCGAAACCAAACACTTTGTCCGAATTTTCTTCTGATGAAATTTTGAAGTCTCTATCAGCGAGTGAGATTGAGCTTTCAGAGGATTATACATGTGTGATCTCTCATGGTCCTAATCCGAAAACAACTCATATTTTTTGTGATTGTGTTTTGGAAACTCATCCTGATTTATGTATTAAAAACCATTTTAAGAATGAAGAGCATGTGAAGGAGAAGGTAGCGACTCCAATTGGTAAAGGGTTACAAACTCCAAACCAATATCCCTCTCGTGCCTTCTTGAGTTTCTGCCACCATTGTGACAAGAAACTCGAGGAGGGGAAAGATATTTATATCTATAGGTGAGTTAGCACTATTTGCATATCTTCCTATGTTTTCAATGGTTGCAATTTAAAACCATGATGTTACGATTGCGACTCTATCGCATTCACAGAACCTTGATATTTTCGTTGACTGGTTTCATTTGATATCTTGCAGAGGTGAAAAAGCATTTTGCAGCTTAACTTGTCGCGAAATGGCGATTATGATTGATGAAGAACTCGAGAAATCCCACCCTCCTTGTGAGAACTCTCCAAAACCAAAACCAGGTGAGCAAATTTTTGAAACAGGAATCCCAATAATCATATAAGAGGCTTATCCATGAGAAACGATAGACGCAATTGATCATCTGTTCGCAACAATTGAGCTGTTTTGTGTGCATCTGTTAGCAGCCATTGGATGATCGTTTTGTAAATCATTGCGTTTGTCTCGACTATAATAATTTATGATTTTTTGTTGGATCATTGTAATTTATGGCTCTTATATGAAGCTAGTTTTGCTTTATAGATATAAAATATTATCAAACTATTGATAGCTTGTAGAAATGAAAGGGTTGAAACCTATTTTTCTGGCTCACCCATTTGAAATTTTCTTGCATTATCTCAATGTGCACACAACCTAAGCAATGTTTTTGACTATACTCATGTTATTAGTATTGTAGTTTATATATAATCTATTGCTTTGTGTTACAACTTTTTTGGACTGAAATTCTGAACAAATAGCAGAGTGTTGGTTCCTCCTGGTTATCAACTTGATGGAATATGCTTTATTTAGACGAATCCTATGATTACTATTTTGGCAGAAGAATCTAGTGTGAAGTCCAAGAACATGCATTTTTGCAATATTATACGAGAAAGAGTAATGATGTGAAATTTAAAGTGAGTTGTAGAAATAGAGAAAAGTAAGGTCCACCATGTCTTTGGTTCAAATTGAAATCTTCAATTTTGGAGTTTTTTTTTTTTTTACTGTTCTACTCCACTTCTAAAAATTAAATACTAAAATACTCTACTTTAAAAAATAATTTCTCAGACTTTAAAAAATAATTTCTCAGATGCCTTTGTGATAGTACGTGCTCGACCAATGAAGTGGCGAGCACCATAGTATTTTTTTTAAAAAAAATTTCAAATTATTTTATTATTTAAATAGTTTTAATAATAATTTTAATTATTAAAAATGTATTTTTATTAATTTAATAATATTATATTCATTAAAAATAATCTTTTATTAAATATTATAACTAAATTTAATAATTAATATATTAAAAAGATAATTTAATAATATGACATTTCCATTAGTTGTTCCTCCGTGAGCAAAAAAATGTTGGAATGAATGTGATGGTTGTGTGTAAGGTATCAGACTGGGTATGTTGGATGAGTGGGTAATAAACATCATCAGTTGTGAAGGTAGCGGTGGGATGAGAGAATGAAGTGTTGAAGGTTTGTTGTTGAGATTGAGGGTTTGATTGATCAAAGTTTAACGGAGGAACTGAAGTGAACTGTAAGGGTGGTCGAAGGGTGGATTGGTGTTGATATTGTTGATTGTAGTTGTAGTAGTAGTTTTGTTGAGGGAGTGGAATGTGGGGAGTTTGGTGTTGGGATGAGGTTGCATAGAAGGTGTATTGTTGGGTGGTCTGTGTATGATGGTATGTTTGTTGACCGGAGGAAGATGCGTGTCCCTCAAATTGGGATGTGTACATTGGTGGCACATCCTGATGTATTGGCGCGACAGTTGGTTGCGTTGAAGAGGATGCATGTCCGCGAGGGTCGTTCAAAAATTGGTCTAGAGCAATATACACATAAGGAATTGCATAAAACCAATTCATATACTCTCAACTTGGCTTACGTTCACCAACTATCACGCCCCCATACAAAACCAAATATCTTCTATGTTTCCATTCTTTCACCTCATCTATGTTTAATTCTTGCCAATGAACTTCTTGGGTCTGTTTCATCGTCAGTTTGTGGTGTTCTCTTAGACACCTTGGTTGGAAAGGGATTTGTTATTCAAAACTGAAATGAAGTTTGACCCTATATGTCTAATACATTTCCACAGTAAAGAAATAGATAAGAGAAGTCGTAGCACTCTAGATTCAGTTATCTCTACGATCGGGCGCCGAGAATTGAATGTATAGCATTAGAGAGCTTGTCAATCGCAACGCTTCACTTAAGGTGAAGGTGATCATTGTCCATATTGTTGAAAAATACAGGTACATAATATCTTACAGGAAATCATGGATCGCAAAGCGTAAGCCATAGAGTCACTGTACGGAAATTGGTAAACATCTTACAACGACCTACCACAGTGGATATTGGTAATGAAAACATATCTTCCTGGAACTATTATTGAGTTGCAAACCCTACCTGCAATTTCAAATGAGGGATCCCAAATAGCTGGTAAGCGAATCTTCCATCGTTTCTTTTGGGCATTTCGACCGTGTATACGTGGCTTCGCCTACTGTAAGCCGATTGTGCAAGTTGACAGGACGTGGTTGTATGGAAAGTATAGAGGAACTCTGTTGATGGCTATGGCACAGGATGAGAACGAAAATATTTTCCCAATAGCTTTCACATTAGTCGAAAGTGAAACAAAGGAAGCCTATAGCTTTTTTCTAGGGAACCCGAGGTTACACGTGACACCACAGGCTAATTTGTGTCTAATCTCAGATAGACATAAATCGATAAAGAGTGCATATAACAATCTCAAAAACAGATGACAACATCCACGATCTTCACATGTCTACTGCATTAGACACATTGCGCAAAACTTCATGCGCGAGATTAAAGACAAGGAACTACGCAAAAAAACTTATTAACATGGGTAACAAAATACATTTCAGTTACCTCAACTATTTTTGCATACTTTTACTATGTTTTTCATAATTTTCTATTACAAGTTGCACATTGACGGAGACTACATTTAACTAATATCGCGGAGAAATCCAAAGAACAGACATTGAGGCTTCACGTTGGATAGACAACATACTCGGGAGAAATGGGCTAAAGCATGTGACGGAGGGAAACGTTGGGGACACATGACAAATAACTTGGCAGAAGCCATGAACTCTGCACCAAAGGCAACCTGAAACCTTCCAATCATTGCATTGGTCCAATCTACATATTATCGCATGGGTTCTCTCTTTGATAAAAGAGGCCACCAGTGGACAAAAATGATGGCTTCCAACAAAGTTTTCACAAATGGTTGCAATAAGGGAATGGCTGATGAAGTAGCCAAGGCTAACACACATAACATCATGTAATTTGATCGCGAAAGATTCTGTTTCACGGTCCATGAAAAAATTAATCAGAATGATGGTCGTCCCACAGGTACTTTCAGCGTTGACTTGAGGAATCGGTGGTGTGATTGTGGGAAATCTCAGGCATTTCACTTATCTTGCTCCCACGTTATCGCAATATGTTTTGGTATATGTCAGGACTACTCCATTCACATTCCAAACGTCTTCAAAGTTCTTAACGTATTCAAAGTCTACAAGGAAAGCTTCCTAGAACTATCCCGCGAGGAGAACTGGGCACAATAAGAAGGATTTACTCTTTGCCACGACGAATCCATGAGAAGAAATAAGAAGGGACGTCCAACCAGTAGTAGGATTAGAACCGAAATGGACAACGTTGAAAAGGAAAAGAGAATATGTGGGATTTGTAGAGAAATAAGTCATATGTGTAAAAAAAGTCCAAATGTAGTCGGCCCGTCCATATAATTTTTTTTTTTTTTAAGTTAATCACTTAGTCAAGTTTTTAGCTTTTCGTTGATGTCTTTGTGATCCAAAATTTATTTATAATTCAAGACAACTCTTAATAACAACTACAAAATAAAGACTTTGCTCATAAAACAACCAGACAGTGAACATTTAAATGCTTGAACATATAAACATGCCTAGGATATTACAACCATCAACACAATATCAACTTGTCCATACATCATCATAACACAATCGTAATCGTTTTTTACAGCTTTTCAGGGCTTGTCATCTCCATATTTAACAAGTCTTTCAATTCTTATAATCTTTTCACCTTCAGTAATTTCACCTTCTAATCACCTCACCAGACTTCTCTGAATATGCTTGAATGTCACTGTGTTCTATAGTCGGATCTTCAACGGGGGTTTTATTGGTGAAAAAGCCAGTTGAGCATCTCTTTTGGTAAGAGGTGTAACACCCCCTTTCTATACCCCAAATAAATTAGATAAATCAATTAGGCACATAGAAAATTTATTTCATCAGAGTTTGATTAAAACATGGTATAAAAGAGGCGCATCACATTATCATGAAATTACACACATACGATACCTGCTCAAAATAGATATGCAACAATGGGTAACCCACATCTCAATATTTAGAATAAAGCGGAAACATCCAAATATTGAATCGATCTCATTCATAAAAGTATATACAACCATTAGTTAATTCATGCTTTACAACATATCCACAGCAGATACATACACATATGTATCACAAAAGAATCAAAACAAATGTAACTCCAAAAGAGTCAAAGACTTCCTAACTACCCAGATGTTACATATCAGAGCCATTGACCAAAAAGAATGAAGACATCGCTTCACAAAAGAACCTCCAGCTTCCTACTCTGCAATGCCTCATAGAGCATTATAAAACAGCAGAAGGGTGAGAAACAACATCATAACAGTTAATGCATAAAATTGTATATATACATAACTCCATAATTATACAAGTTATACTCAAATTATGTTCTCACCACATTAAGCATATACAAATAATCATGTCTCTACACATACACATGAACATTCACTATATTTCCTCCAAACAATCACATATAACATACACAGTTATATTCACACAACCAATGCATCATACACAGATGACTCATGCAACTCATAGAGACCGACACACGACTCTATGCAGATGCAAATGCGGTACCGACTCATTCAACAAATTCCCTAAGGAATCGAGTATTCAGCAGATCCTCCACGGGATCAAGTACTCAGCAGATTCTCCACGGAATCAAATATTCATCAGATTCTCCACGGAATCGAATATTCAGCAGATCCTCCACGGGATCAAGTACTCAGCAGATTCTCCACGGAATCAAATACTCTAACCAATCCTCCACGGGATTACATGTTATGACCGATTCTCCGAGGAATCACACAATGCAACCGATTCTCCAAGGAATCAAACAATGCAACCGATTCTCCAAGGAATCAAACAATGCAACCGATTCTCCAAGGAATCAAACAATGCAACCGATTCTCCAAGGAATCAAATATAACCATCGTATCATACGAGGTTCTGCAAATCCTCCGAGGGATCAATCGACA